AAGCCTAAGCTAGATTCCTTTGAATCATTTATGTTGCTGTCTTAAAACTAATCGGATTCGCTACTTCCATATTCGTATGGGGCGTTTGAGTTGGACTTGAGAACTGCGTTGCGAATGTAATGTCATTCTTTCTGCTCACTAGACGTAAACCGAAACTAATTTCGCCAAAACTATCATGATAATTTTTATTCCCGATATGTGGGTGGCATACCGTCTGGCATGATCATACGTTAACCATCAGAGTAAAGCATGACCGAGGGCCTTGCGGGTAGTGGGGATTGCGCGAAAAAAGACCGTCATAAACGGTGGGAAGTATTCGATGAAATAGTAGTAATTAGTTTCTTTCCCAGCTTGTAGGGATCAATGGGCATGAGGTCTGACTAGTTCAAAGACTTGGCCTATTGACATGAATTAAAACTGAAAGAACCATTGCCGGCTATGTGTGACCTTGGGCGGTTGGGTAAATGGTCGCTGTCATAATGAGCAAAAATGGAGATGGAGATGGAATAATTCGACTTGTGGGGACAAGACAAGTTTCGTCTCAAACATATGGTTTAATCTGAAACTAAGCAGACTCATTGGTGCAAGGGGTAGGTTGGATAGGGAGGTAGTGCTAAAGCATAGGGCCAACCGAACTCCGTATACGGAATTAAACTTGAAGAAGGGGCGAGCCAATATTGCAGCAGAAAACTAGGCTGGTCAGATTTGAGCAAAAATTCATCGGGTACGAAAGAACTCGTCCCATAGACGGTTTCTGCAGTTTTTTGCAGTTACTGAAAAAGTGGGCAAGAGGGCACGGTCGAGCGAGGGAGCGAAATAGTTGCGGGTGTGTTATCAAACCGGTATGGCAGTGCCGTGCCATTAATGGCCCGACATACTTCGGTTTTTGGACAGTCCCGTGACGAACGTCACATATTTTTGTGAGTGGGCTGGGGTGTGCAGTCCTCGAAGTTGAGAATGTTACCAGGAGTTAGTCTGGTCTGGTTGCACGCTTCGATGATGTGGTGCACATAGCCTTTTGCGTAAGTGAGCAAGCATTCTAATTGATCGTCCACTACCGACTCGCACGTGTTCACCACTCCACGAGACAAGGCAAGAAATCAAGTCCAAGCCCAAAATGGAGTCTCGTGTTCTTCACATGGAAGATAGCATCTACATAATATGCCGTGTAAATTACATCAGTGTTGGTAGTTCAATAACGTATACTTGCGTTTTATACGTCAGTTCTAACGAATCGGGTACGTTTATCCACCGAACTTTGCCACAGTCGTTTTTTGGGAACCTTGCCTTGTGCTCAGTATATTAACAGATGACAGCCTGGCGCATCGTACAATGCTGGTGAGATTATTCGTTTGTGCGAATGAACTTCATTCGTTGATGCGCGCAACTAGTCGTTTTCAGATAGTTGTATGCGGATTGCCAGACCCTGGCAAGGAATACTTTCAACAGGGAATGATGACGTCACCGAACTGGACTGGTACATGGAACGCAAACTCAATGCTGGAAAACAGGGCCAAAAATTGCCTGCCATCATGATAATCGTACGCGCCTTTGATCACGTCGGCTATTTATCGTGACTGTTACGACCGTGCTGTGTGCCAGTCTGATTCGAGTCTCAACAAGTTCACATTTCAACTGGCAACAACGGTCACTCATACTGCCTAACACATTTTAGCTCACCTTTTCTACTTGAAGTGTCTGCCTGACACGTAAATATGCACGCAGCTGATTAAAAGACGCTCACTGTACATGCGATTCTAATCCAATGGTCAATGACGGACATTCATTCGCATACACGTCGACCGTCCGCCAAGCCCATGTCTGAAAAATTAACAACCACCCTTAACAAATTGTGGTTTTACCTATTGGTCGCAGTGGTATAAACAATGTGTTGTCAGTTCAGTTCTCGTTTTCAGGAGGACGCTTTCACTTGGCAGGATTTCTGAAAGGAAGAAGCTTAAATGAACTACGACTCATCTATATCTTTGGCAATATCATTGAAAACACAAGTGAGCAAACTTCAAAAGCTAAATCATCGAGCGCTTAATAGATCATGTTATCCACGGCACCTTATGTGTGTCTAGGCCGAAGCTGGAGGCTTGCTGCCATCAGGGTATACACACTAATTTCCCTAGTAGTCCTATTGTCGATAGTGAAGTATCCGTATATGCGCTGATGGTCCGATTGTGGGATTCAGTGATCATGTGCTTAAAGATGAAGATAAAGGTCTACAAGTCCGTTATAGGATCAGGCGGCTTACATTTAAGCTCCAGGACAATGACCTGAGGCTTCCACAAACGCGCACCCATTGTGACGATCTGTTAGATAGACAGGTACTCGCTCTCAAAACAGTTTCTTTAGAGCACAGAATCCTAACATCACCCTTCTCCTTCTCGATATTTATAACATGTCGCATAGTAGAATAAACAGCTCCGCCGTCCTCATCATAACTTGCAACCGGTAAGGAATATTCAACAACAGGAGCAACTTCACCAGCAAGGGTCTCCTTTTTAAGAAACTCATCAACCCCTATGCGTGCGTTTGTAGACCTTCACACTTGTGAGCGGCAGAACCCGGTCACACATAAAAAAGCTTGCCCATCTTAGACATGTGCAAAATGTCGGAAGGTGCCCGCCGTTTCATGCCACACTGCGGCTCCATTCCGTGTCTTTTATATGCGCTCCGGCTTTATCCAACTCGTCGTTCATGCCGAAGTGTTGCAATGCTTCTTCCCTTCCACAATCATGCCTACTATATCCGAGTAGATGAGCCACTAAGACGGTCAATCCTGAAACGACTGTCCCTGATAACCTGGAGGTATAGCTGGAAACTGCAAGAACATCACGTCTCATTACAAAGGAACGAAAATTCTTCCACCGGCACCCAAGTAACGTATATTGTCACAATTTCGCTAATCATACCATTCAGGTCTTAGATGAACAGGCCACAAGTTCGTCCACATTTGCGGAAACATCGATGCTGCTTTCTTCACAATACTGGTTGATGATACCGGAAGAAGTGGCCTAATCGCGCTCCCGGAGGTACTGATGCATCACTGCTGTTGCTTTTGAGACGCAGACACCTAGTTCGTAAAACGACGGTAAATGTCAACGCCTCGAATGCACACAGTTTCAGTCCGCGTTGTACACCGCTGGTAGCCGATAAATTGAGCAAGTTTTTTAGAAAGCTGACAACACGAAAGCCACAGAGAACAAATATTCAACAGTTCTTACGACGTATCGAGCCAAGCAGACGGAGAAACGTAGACTCCATCCCGGAAGCCGTACAACACCAGCAGTACCCAAACGCTCCCTGATCTCTTTCATTCCCTGCTGCCAAGTTATGCGGTATCCAACGAACAGTTTCCGCCATTCTGAAGGAAGCACGGAGAACGGAACTCCTCTCGAGGAATGGTGTTTTGGCATATGCTGCACTTGACCAAGCCGTCGAAGTAGATGATTCTGGATGTATTTTAGTTGGCTGGAGTCCCTGCCGCACAACCAAATATCCGCTTTCTAATCACCTCGCTACTAATCCACTGACGCTATCAAAAACCAACCACTCTTCTGAAGCATCGGTGGCCAAAAACCTGAAAATGACTCACATCACCTCTACGCAGAGGCCACATCTCGCATCCATACAACAACGCAGCCCTCACTATAGCCTGATACATACGACCCGACGATATACCGTTTTGACACCACAAGTGACGCAAATTAGCAAACGTCATTCGAGCCATTGAGTTTGTGCACTGACTTCAACATACCGTTTTACCCCAAAAGTGACGCAAATTAGCAAACGTCATTCGAGCCATTGAGTTTGTGCACTGACTTCAACAGACACAACCCGGTCCGGGCTAATTCAGCTAGCGGGGTGAAATCCTCCACAACCCCAAACACTTTCTGGTTCTGGACATTCTTCAGTGAGAGCCTCCTTTGGACAACGAAAACTCCCTTTCTTATTGCCTTGTTGCGGATTCAGCGACACTGACTCAAACGAGCTATCGGATACCTGAGAGCATCTAAGTTCCTCTTCTCAAATTGGGTTAGTAAGAATTGATTTCCGCGCGACATGTGGTAGCAGAAAGCCACACATATCACCAGTTGATACGCTCCTGTTCACTGGTAGCTTACCTTCAATTGGCGACTTGGGGATATACAATATATAACAATAGTACGAAACTAAATACTTGCCAGTTTTACTCAAGCTTACTCCAGAATCACTCGCTTCAACCACGGTTTTGGGGCCGATTTAATCACACTCTCTCCAGGCTTCATGGACAAATATGCAACTAACCATGATTTCATTGATGCACCGCTTAGGTGGTGCACATTCCTCATATCCGTGTATGAACACATGCGCTACCAACGATCGCGTGCCGCCATTCCCTGCTATCACAACTTCAATTTTGATTATCCCTTTTGAAATCGGGCAGTGTCGCCTCACTACAAGAGTTAGCTATATACTATTTCGTGCCGGATGCCACCTTGTACGCGTTCCTTGAAGCAAACTCTGTTGGAATTTAAGTCCGAAACCTTCATAAAGAGTTCATATTGCTTCGGTTGAATGGCAACATCAAATCCATACTGAGCATACTGAGCAGCCCGTGAAGCCACTAATTCTCACCATACCAGTAAAGCTAAAACCTATTGTTGCAACCGATACAGGGTGTACTGGTTATGATACGGAAGTCGATCAACCTCGATATCTGCCACCAATTCCTTGGCTTTGTGTGTCAGGACACATTCCGCAAAATAGAAAAACATTTTCGGCACAAGTTCCGAGTGGTCGCCCCACCATGAGCCTGAGCAGACAAGGACATCCCCATTATTGTTCATGTACACTTTCAAAATATTTCCAAATCCAGTAAACAAGAAAACACGTGGAGAAATCAACTCCTCCGCGAGGAATCCAGATGGGGCTGAACTACAAATTCTCGAACCTGATTGGTCGAAATTTTGGCATCAAATCCGTCGGCTTCCGCATACTCCGTGGGGCTTCGCGGTCGTGCAGCCGGAACACATGGAAATCACAATCGAAGGTATTAGAAAAGTGAAAGAGACAGCATCTTTCGCTACTTATGCGCTACTTATGGGTACTAGATGCAGCATAAACAACCTTGGGAGAAAGATGTTCTAAGCACCAATTACCGGAAATGGGGAAAATCGTTGCCTGAAAATCTTACCATGTCCCCGCCGAGTGTTTGGTCGACAGTGGAAAATCTGTTGACCGGTCAACAGGTTCGACCGAACCTTGTTCAGGGGGGACATAAGTCTCATAGGAGGTGACGATACCTCAGGGCAAAGAGGTCAAGCACGCCGGGATGCGTTTCGTAATCCACGGATGTAGGACTGGCAACCAATTGCGTAGCAACTCGTTGGGTACGTTCAATGAGAGCTACGTCGTTCTTGCGTCCTGAGTGAACAACTTGGTTAGCATATTCAAGATGTGGACTGACGTAGGCCCCATAATTACCTGGTTGTTTATGCGAATAATGCGCGAGAAGGCGCGCCAAATCGTCTGTGGACTGGCGAGTGCCTTTTGGGCCGATTTCTTATGGCGCAGTGAGAAGGACATTTTTGAAAATAGCCAGATACCTAAATCCGTTTTGTTTTCTATTATCGTAATTTTTTCTGATCCAACTTCACCATCCGTGACAGAGGCGTTCGCTGAGTCTCTTCTGAATGTATCTGGACGCACTTTTCCTCATTCAGGGGAAGGTGCCAGTTCAACGACCGCTGCTTTGCAGCATCTACATCCATCTAGCTGGTACTGGAATTGGAACCCCGGTATTTCAAGTCGTCTGCGAAGAGTACATATGAACTTGAAAGGACATCTGGAAAGTCGTTGACATAGATCTGAAACAGAAGTAGTCCCAGAACAAAGCATTGAGGAACTCCAATGGTGACTGGTGCCGAAGAAGAGGTCGGGTCTACTTTCAACCAGAGTGTTCTGTCTTATGAGAACGCTTTAGTAGAATTTCCCCTTGAATCCCGTTAGACTCTAGTTCGTGGAGCAGCTGGACGTGTGAGATTCGATCGAATGCTTTTGAGAAGTCGAAAAGCATAGTATCCGATATGAGTCCCTCGTCCTCATGCAAGGATGGTTTGGGAGAAATCCGTGTTGCACTGAGGGTGTCAATTTCTTTTTGGTGAGGTGGCTCGATTCATAATGCGTTCGGTCACCTTGCACGGTACGCTAGCGAGGCTACTATGCATTTATCTGTCGAGCGATAATCGGTCACCAGTTCTGTAGGTTGGCGTAGCAGTCGCTTCCTCCCAAGCAGAGGAAAGGTTAGTTTCGTCGACCGAATGACGAAACACCAGGTAGGAACGCTTTGCCAATATGAACGACGTTTCCTTCAGGATCCTTGGATGAACCTCGTCTGGCCCGAACGCGCATAACGCGTTTGTCTTGTGCAAGGGTTGTGGTTAAGTACTCTAACACTATCTTTGCTGCGTCCGAAGGTGGAGGGCTGTGAGGTGTGGTAACAGAGATTTAGCACCGAGAATCTGGTTTGCGCTGGGCTTTGGCCCCTCGGAGCACGTGTTTTTTCCGCTCGTGGTTGAAAATTTCGATATTTTCTACTTGTAGCTCGTGCAATACTCCCTTTTGGGCGTTCGGATTTGTTGTTGTTTAAGGATTTGTGGTGAACGACCTCGGAGGTTCACGACTGCATTTGTTCCCTCAAGCGCCACGGAGTTTCTGGTCCGATCGACCTCCCACCCGCATTGTTCTGGTGAAGTCTTTAGTCAGCGCTTGTCTAATCTGTTTGTTTACATGTGTAAACAGAAGACTCTACCAGGCAATTGGGGGAATCGGTGATAGTGCCCACTTTCAGTAAAAGGGCTCTTAGTGGGTGCCGTAACCGCTTGATCTCGGTCTTGACGAGACTCTTGGCGTCGATTGTGCTCTGTCGTCTTACGGTGGTTCGTGAAACACTGACGAGTAAGCAACAAGCGGGATTCTGGCCTAGTAATGGTCGCGTTGACCAAACCTTTAAGTGCTAAACGACCCACAACTCTAGTATTCCTCTATTCCCGATTCTAATTAGACTCGGTTGACTGGTTTGTCCTCCTTGACGCGCTTGCCCAAGAATGCTCCGGAAGTTCGAGAACATAATAAGCTCTTTGTCTTCTCAGAATTCCGGACATGTGAGAGTATATGGTGAGATCTCCGAAAGCTTCAGTTCACAACACGGTGTCCGTCACGAATGCCCACTTTCTCCATTCCTATTTAACTTCGTGATTGATGAAATCATGGGGCGAAACCTAGGTCTCCCAAACCCCGGTATTCAAATAGTCTTTAAAGAAAACCTTGTCGATCTGGAGTATGCAGACGACATCATTCTCATGTTAATAGGGAAGGGAAGGCGCAAGTGTTCTTGGACGAACTGGCCAAAGTAATCTCATCTCTTGGTATGCACTTTGTACCAGCAAAGTGTAAGGTCATGCTCCTGGGCATTCACTCACTGAACACGCCACTTACAATCCAGGGGGAAGCACTCGAAGTTGTGGAGCGCTTTACGTATTTTGGACGTTGTATTAGTTCCAACTGTAGTGTAACGGAGGAGGTCCGTAAGACACGAGTTGCGTGTGCTAATTTGAGACACATGTGGCGTCAACGTGATTTATCCCTAAGTTTCAATGGACGTGCGTATCAAGCTACAGAGCGGGCTGTTTTATTGTATGGCTGTGAGATTTTGCCTGTTCGGGCAGCGGAACCGAGACGTCTTAAGGTGTTCGACAATCGTTGTCTCAGAACCATAAGTCGTGTGGGTTGGTGTCGGCGCTTCCGTAACGAGACAGTTGGAAAGCGAGTTTTCGTTTGTGCAACGGGTACTTTCATTGAAAGATGTGTCCAGAACCAGAAGCTGCATTGGTTGGGACATGTGCTGCTTATGCCGAAGAGAATGCTGTTTTCCGTGACTAACTCAGAGTGGCGGAAGCGGAGAGGTGGCCAACCCTTGACTGGCAGGGGGGTATGAAAGAAATCGCGAAACGCTTGGGTGTTGTCAGTGCTACTTGCCTTCCGGGATTGGGATCGCATGGTCCCCACTGCGCCTGGTTGGAGACGCTGCAAGATATGGCTGTCAACCGATATCACTGGCGATCTTGTTAGTTTCTATCCAGATTGCCTGAATGAGTCTTTGGAGGTGTAGGCACCTCCAAAGACCAGCGCCAAGTCCCTCCCCGTCCACCTTTATTCTTTTGTTTACAATAAGGTTTTCAAACAAATCACGGCTGTACGGCAGCGGAGACTGTTGCACACTGACGTCATGCTGTCGATGATGAGGATCCCGATTGAAACGGTACATTTCCACCAATCTTCCCCACTCAGAAGTGAAGTATTGGTTTTGTTTTTGACATCCATCTTGTTAATTTTGGAATGCATATCGCCCCCAGAACAGAGGGGCCTGACAAACAAACGAGGAAGCTGGAAAATTGACTTATCTTGTCGTCCCGCAAACCCGTACATTTGAAATTCCATCAGACCTGGCGGGTGTGACATTCCATTCCACTGCTAGCATCCGGTGGAAATCCATTTTGCCCACATCTGTTGCACTGACGTGACCATGAGGTTGGAGGTCGTGTTTCTCTGTAGTTGGTCTCAGCCTACCCGTTTTATATTTTGTCTCTTTCAAAGGGGGGCGAGACGGCTCAAGTTGTTGAAGCGCGAATTTACTGACCTGAAGGTCTGTGGTTCGAATCCGACCTCTGCCTCTCGACTTCTATCTAGGCTTGGGCAACCTGAGAGTACTCCAGCCCTCGTGCTCCCTTTGGGTGACATAGCAGCTAGGCGCCGAAAGGTGGCCCAGCTGAATGAGTTTCTTATCTTGTCTCATTTTCAAAGTATCCCACCTGACATCCGCGTTTGTGAGAGCTGTATTTCTCGCTATATCACGATTTTTTCAAGACCCTGAGCACATGCCGTGAAACCATGGGACGGTGGTCATCGTGTAGATCTTCAGGATGGGTTGGAAGACTCACGGGATTGTGACGTAGAACGGGAGGTTGGTAGTTCAAGTAGTGTCACCGGCGTTCCGTCTCAGATTTTAGCGACGTCAGTAAGTCGTTGGATAGTGGTCAATGGCTGTTGCCATTTTTTTAAACGAGTTTTACCTTCAAGTAGGCCCTGTTGATGCCGTCTACTTGACGGTGGTTTACCTTTAGTAGTTATTCGGGAATCAGTTATTGTCAGATGGGGCGATGTTCAGTAGTACCTGGATCGAGAGCCAGCGGTGGTTGCCACCTTTGCTACTTGCGGCACTCCAAAAGCTCCGCGGCTTGCAGCGGGGGACGACCGATAGACCAGAAATCGAAGGAACCTATAACGGCTCAACCACTGCTTTCTATGACGACTGGTGTGGAAAATACATACATGTTTAGGGAACCTCGTTACAAAAGGGTTCAGCAATATTGCCTTGTCTAGCCACCGTATGCTATCAGAAACGGGTGATGAGGACCTCGTGTGGATATTTGAGGTGTAGCTTGTTAAACTTCATTGTAACATTTCGTGTAATATACAATTTCGGACAGGAAGCAAAACCAAAATATGGGAGTAGTTTGAGTATCCAATAGATGCGCATCAAAGCCCCTGAATCGTTTCTCGTTCTCCCGAAACTTGCCCATCATACGATGTTCGCCTTTTCTGCAACGCATGCAGTGCGTTCTCAACGCATAACCTCAATTGTCTTGAACTGCTTCCTTAGCCAACAAATTGTCAACCGGCTGAGTCCCTGGGTTACCACCAGAGACCGCCTTGCCAGTCAGTGCATACAGTAATTATGGTCAGCGTTTGATGCTACCCAAAATATCCCTAGGGACGAGATGACTCAGTGGTTAGAGCGCAAATTTACTGACTGGAAGGTCCGTGATTCGAACCCGAACAAAAGCATCCTTATGGGCGAGTTGTGAGCGATGCCCCTAATAGACTTAGGTATCCGCTTGTCCATAACACTAAACTTTTTGGAGAATAACTGGGTTTTGGAATGTGAGGGCATGTTACGAGACTTGATTAGTTGTCGGAAGTGAAGTCCGT